CAACCACCAACAACCTGAATCGCGATCCGTTCGCCCGCAAAGGCGAAGAGTCACACTGCCTGCCTCCCTCAATACTAAGTTGCTGTACAGTTTCATCCCCTTCTGTGTCATCCCTTGTCAAATTGCCGTCTGAAGACCAAGCTGTCGTCTCGAAAGGACTCTTGCCATCTCCCCGCAAATACCCATTGTCCATGGTAATCTTTGTGTGAGAGCTGGACGGCTGACCATTGTCAAAACTGCAAGGGCAAGAAGAGCACGCGAGCGCCGGAGCCGCCCGAACGCGACACCCAACCGCGCTCAGCGACTGGCTGCACCCGCAGCCCCGAAATGAAGTGGAGTCTGGAGGGCAGACGAGTAGACGAGTACTTTTGAGCTCTGTTTCCTGCAAGGCACGGAAGGCAGAAGCAAACCGTTACCTGGAAGCTCGGCCTCCAGGAGGAAGACGTGGTACAGCGACAAGAGCACAGAGAGCCTGGCGGAGACCATGCTTAGTCGTGATGGGGGAACCCTCTTCGGGCTGCGGTGTTGCTTCCAACGGAGGAAATCGGCAAAGAATATAGTCCCTTCCAGTTGAATGAGGCGGTCTGACTGCTGGTAAGAGGGGTGGGTGTTCAACCGAACCTTCCCAACGAACACGACTGTGACGTTATGAACCAACCCGAGCATTCAATATAGGTAATATGTAGGCATCTCTTTGTCATCGCCACGGAAACAACGGTTGCTGAATGCATGTTGGATCGGATTGAAAAGCCTCCGAACGAAGAGGGTGCTCCAGGGGTCGTCCTTCCTAGAACCCTTAAAACCGCTGCATGGTGCGGGTCAATCGGGTCGAAAATTGATTGCCTTCCAGTTTTAGATATCGCAGCATGAGGCCGGGGAATGTGATAGCGAAGAATGGCATGGGAAATGCAGGTCACAAGCACTGAACCGAACGACAGGAGCAAGATACAGTTCACAAGTCAACCAGCGAACCAACAGAACAAGGAACGTACAACCCGGGAGAACAACGCTTTCTACGAAACTGGAACCCTGTCCGAATTGAGACTTCTTTCCTCCTGACACGCCAGGTTGCTGTTCAAGCCATTGTCTAAGATCTTGGCAGACATCTTCCGCCATCTCTTCAGTGTACTCTTGCAGCAACCTGGCCCGGTGTGCTTGAATGTGCAAAATACGCCTACGGGCTGCCCTTCAGAGCACTTCCCCCGACGACCGAGAGACCGAGAGAGGACTAGCGGCTAGCGCAGCTCAAGCCACATGGGCCGATTCAGCCGCTCCGGGTCTTGCAAAGCTTTCACGGCGCAGGTGATTCGCTTGAGGGCAAACTCCGCCAAGTCCAGATGCTCATGGATGTTGCTCTGAATCCTAAGGCAATCGGGCCATGTTGGACGTTGGACAATGAGCCTCACAACAATTTGCTGGAACTGCCAAGGATCAGCTTCCGATCACATACCTCGGCTCCACGGGCTGACGGGCTCTGGCCGAGTTCGCGTCGTGGGATGACGCGAAGATTTGGCCAGGTTGCGTAAGGCGCCGTTGGCGCGGCTGGCTCGCTTTCCGCTTGACCCAGGAGCTGACGCAGGTGTGACAACACCTGACGCTGCCAGGCTTCGTTGTCAGCTTTGCTGGCCATATCGGGGCTGCAGAAACCTCGGTCAAGAGGTTGCCAAACGCCAAGCAGCATTTGCTCACCATAAAAGTCAAGGAACCCGAGCTTAACCCAAGCTTCTTGCAAGTTGTGTCCTGCAAGAGTGGCGCTGAAATGTGTTAGGTCTCATCCCAATGATGTCCTACCATGGCTGCACTTGCTAAGGTGCGCCTGAAAGCTGAGCCATACCTCTGCCCATGTGTTGGGCTTCCTTGGCTGCAAGATGGCCCAGCAGTTTCCCCTCTGCTAGGAAGCAGCGAGCTGAGGGGAACTCGAGCTCGGACAGGACAGTTGTGACTCGTTCCAGCATTTGTCTTGCCAGGCAGCTCGTGGGGTGCCAGGCCTAGCAAACCCAGAGCGAGGCGGCAAACAGCAGCAGAAGCCAAAGGAGGTTTGGTCCTAAGCTCACACACGCACCCGTACGCACACTTACAAAGTCTTACAAACACACAACCAAACACATCCTGTCACACTGTGCGACGTCACGATAGAGGGCGACACACAGCTTCTTAGTGATCTCCGGTGGCCATGTCTGGTCGGCAGATCTAGGCTCAATCCTTTAGTCACTTTAGTCAGAATGGCTGCGCGTGTCGCCAGCACCCCTTCAATGCAGCCGCAGGGTCTTTGCTGACTTTTTCTGGTCAGTTCTTTCCTGTGGTTCCTGTCGACGGAGAGATTCGCCTGCCCGAAACGGAATCCGACAACAGCAGTTCAACGACGCCAGTCCAACACGACTGGCCGGTCCCACCAGACAACGTCAAGACAAGTGGAAAGTGTATCCCTACGAGTCTACGGCAGAATCCATGGCCTTGGGCCAGGTCTGCCTGGACCCCCTGTGAGCATTTCTCGCGCTGCGCAGGATCGACGCCCAACTCGACGAGCTCACCCTTCCTGTCACCGACTGTCTTGGTTACAGAAACTGTTCTGTGTGCTTTGCGCGCCGACCAGGCCAGGCTCCACTGACTGATTCAATTCTAGAAGATTTTAGGCTAGCATATACACTGCACAGCAAATCGCCGCGAAAGGCACGGCGTGATATCGCACAGCAACGGCACGTGGATGTCAGCCACAGCAGCACGCTTTTGGCCGGCAAAGTTGCCTGCTGAAAGCATCGCTCTTGGCCGCTTCGCTAACGGCCTTGCTATGCCTTGCGGGAGTGCTGTGTGGGGTGGGGGTTGGACCTGCTGGGTGATGATCAACCTGACAGTGATTTCTTGAGTCTTCGGGGCGATGGGCCTACATGAAAACCTACATAGGCAGCTGCAGCCTAAAACTGCTGCGGATGAAGCAATGCAAGCCTGCAGGCCGTGCTCAGGTTCGATTACTTGAGCAAAAAGTCGATCTCTCCGAATCTGCCGCTTCCCCACAAAATCCACTGCAAGGCATCCCGGTCCCGGGCGGCCAGGGCCTGATTTTCGTCCATAAGATGAAGATCCTCAGTTGTGGCAGCTATCGTCATTTGCCCGCTCCAGAAGCTGTACTTTCGGCCCGCCTGTGTCTGCATTGCCTGCCCCGAGCTGAGCAGGAGTGCATCCTCCAGTTTCATGACATTGCGCGCCTGCCCCATCTCGTGTTACAGGGCTTAATGGATTTGCTCAAACTGAGAGACCAGAGGAGAACCTCCACATGATCCAGCCTGCGGCTCGCCTTTGCTGTTCAGCATGAGCGTGAATGTCACCTCGTCACCTCGGAATCACCCATGATGTGTAGAGAGGATCGGGTTTTTGGAGCAAGCTGTTGGCCATTGCTTGGACTGCTGCTACGTAATGCTCAGCCGCACAGGCAACAAGCACACCACTCCCTCAAAAAAAATGCATCGGCCGAAAGCTTGCCAAGGGCCTGACCAATCTGTAAACCCTCCAATTGGTTTCGATGGACGTAGACGTCCTTGGCTTTGCTGGCTTTGCTAGTGCGGAAGCAGGGCTGCGGGATCTTACTGATATGATGACATCTCAGGCGCAAGAGAAATCTGATAAGGCCAGGTCAGGCAGGTACTATCTTGTCTTGTTATTGCTCCACATGCGGTTGGGACGCTCGGGTAAAGCGAAGCTTCGTCTCCTCGCAGTCGATGAAGCCGTAGCCAAAGCCACCGGGAACATCCATAAACCTGCGTAGTCGCTCGGGATTGAGGAGGATTTTGTCAGGCCTGCACGTATTGCCTGCAATTAAGGTACCGCACCTTTTGACCCTGCCAACCAACCGCTCTTCACGGGGCCGGAGCGGCACTCCTGGCTGGCAATCAGGATGAGCAAAGATTCCCACGCAAAACTAAAATACCGGAAGCTTCAGGGCTGATGGCGAGTCTTGACGTGAGTGGTGCTACAGAAATCGAGCATAGCTGTCCTGCAAAGGCCAGGGCGGCACTGTTCGCGACCTAGGCAACATCTCGTCCCCACACCAACACAGCGACGAGAAGCCTTGTTTTGTTTCCAACCCTCTCCGACGCCCGCACTCGGCAGGTCAGGGCGCTAACATGCAGCCTCGAAACCCAGCCCGAACAGCACACACCGAGTCGTATTTATTTTTCATCCTCTGATCGGTGCCTTCAGTCTTAGACTGGGCAGCTTCCTGGTTGCAAAACATGCTTCAGTTGGGAACTGGCCATTGTCGCTGTGAAAAGCGGCGTCTGGGCATGCTGTGGGAAGTTAGGCTTTTGGCTGGATGGCAGGCAGTGTGTTTATGGTCAGGTCCCTCAACGGCCGAGTTCTCCTCAGGCCTATAGCGAGGCGATCCCAGCCAAAGTGGCAATGCATCTGCTTGGAGTTTGTCATTTGATGCTGTCAGAGTCAAACAGGCGTGCTGGTCATCTGCCTTTCTTCGCCCTCTGAAAGACTCGCTCAGGAGTCTCAGCTGGCGGTCACCTACAGGTGAAGCGACTCGAATGGTAGCCCCATGGCTCGCTGCTCTTGCTATTGCCCTCAGACACGGCTTCTCCGTCTCTTGCGGAGGTCTGAGCATATCCAGTCACACTGCAGCCACTGCCATCCAGCAGGGGGGCACGTGGACTTACTTGGGGCACGGAGGACAACTGCAGCGATGTTCGGCATCCTCCTGTACATCAGATGGCAATCTCATGAGGGTGGGCATGCAAAATATTCATATATAGAGACCAATGCTGCTCGGGATTCATGTAGACCTCTCCTTGTAGATGGTCTTGCCGCAGTCCGTTATCTCAGGTAATGCGCTGGGAATCTCCTGGCGGAGCGAGATGCGAGAAGCACATGCTGATGCAGATGCAGGCATGAGTCGTATGCATGAAGAGGTGCCTTTTTCCAAGACTGTGCGAGAAAGTCAGGGTCATCGTGGCCTTGGTGCGGAGCATTAGGAGGGGATTCCGCGGGTCTCTCTTGCTAGCCCCTCTTGCGATGGCTTAAGTCCCCAGCGGCCACTGTTTGCGCATGCGGCAAAAAGGTCACAAAGAGAGCCGCCCATTGAATGTCCGGTGCAGGCCACGTGACTGAGGCAGGTTGGCAAGTTATCGCAGAAATTTGGCATGACGTGATCACAAGCAAGGCAATGTTCACTTGCAATTGCCACTGTTGTCTCGCAATGCCAGCCCCTTTCGCTCGCCCCACCGGCCTGCACTTTCCTATCTTCGGCCGGATGAGGGGCCACAGCTCTTCGATCATCCTTCTCGGTGCAAGTGCAACTCAGTCTAGGCTCTTCTGGTGCTCGGACGAAGGCCGAGACACGGCCGCAATTGAAATAACAGCCTACAAAACCATGCATTTGCCAGCAAAGGGAAGTGCTGGGATCTAGAGTCCACTTCCGGCTCGGTGCCTATATGCTGATTCCGCAAAAAGCCTGTGCTTTGTAAACAGTTCTCGAGCTAGTTGCTTTAGTTCCACCGTCACCCTATTTCAGCTACTAAAGTGGCCTGCGCAGCTCGTCACGGTATCCCGTGTGGACGGTCTTGAAGCCGCAGAATGGAGCTGTTCGGACATCTGTGGCAGTCGCCAGCTCGTTTCCTCGGGTGTCGAACTCAATGAATTGCATTCCCGCCGGTACGTGCCAATGCTACGCGGTAGCTGGCAGCAATCTCGAGACCACAGATCATCTTCATGTCGAGAGGCCGTAGTTGTTGACGCCCGCAAACGCCAGCACACACTCGAAGGTCTTCGAACTCTGCACCAGCATCATCGGGTCCTGCTTCTGCTGCTGGCGCAAGCTGACTTGGCAGTGCTTGCGGCAACTTATGCGATGTTGGCTCGCAGAATTTGGCTGGGCGTCTAATGTCAAGTCAAGCCTACAGCCCTGCACAACCCCGCCTCGTCGTACATAGAGGCAGCTCCAGTGACCAGCGTCACTCTTGAAACAATGTTCCAATGACTTCCCAGCCTGCGGCAAAAGCAAAGGGCAGCATGCACCTGCCATCCGCCCCTGCCGAGTACTTAAACGTGCCCAACCTAGCTCATGCCCAAGAACAACGACTAAAACTGCCCGAATGCTACGAAGCCTGAGCACTGAGTCGTCAAAGCTCCGTGAAGAACCAACCTAGTCAGTGAAGTCATCAACCTCTTGAAACTGCACCACTCTCCAAATGCACTTTGGCCCTCGACGGCCACCGCATTGCGAACAACTACTCCGTCCCAAGCACGATGTAGATTTAGACGGTAGAGATCCCAATGATTCACTGGTTCCTGGCCTGGTAGTCTCTGAGCAGGGTCTCGAGAACCACAAACCGTTGGGTACCCGGGCTTTAAATCATTCAGCTGACCACTAGCAGCTTTGGAGGGCATCCGCAAATCTTCGTCCAAAATTTGTCAAACCTCGTGAAGGAAGCCGGGGGCCATCAGTAGTCAACCAAATGGAAAACAAGCGCCGTAAGTCCCTAGATCGGGAATTGAACTGAACAGTTACTCGAGAGTTCTGTCCTCCGGGACTGTCTGCAGGTTACTGAGATGGACAACGCCTGATATTGATGTGCAGAGGAATTTCCAGCCAGGGCTGAAGTGGGAAACACGTGCTTTGGTCTCATTCTGAACAGCCTTTCTTTGATGTGCTTCTTGGCGTGTTCCGTGCTGTCGTACTGCTTGTACGCCTCAGAAGAATCACGCCAAATACGTTGCTGCTGTGGTCTCTCTAAACAGCTCCCACGCACGAAGAAAGCCCAATTCTTGCAATGCAGCCTGTTCTCACCCCCGTCACCCTAACAGCTTTTTTCTGACAAAGATGCGATTCGATTGTACAAATACGCGGTCCGGAAAGGCTCCTGGCATTACATGGGCGAACCGTTTCTTTCTGCAGCGAGATGGGCACCCTCGAGACGGGCAAAAGGTTGCAACACTGCGGAAGTCCTGATCCGAGACATCCATGCCCAGCAGGGAGACATTTCCCAAGCGAGGTTTATATTTCGGTTCCCAATGCAAAAGCCAGTCCTTGCAGCGACTCCAACAAGGATTGTCAGCAGGGTTTTTACTGCGTGTACACCACCCGACCTTCCCCTTGCCAGAATTAGTGAGCGGCTACAGGCAGCTAGAGGGTTCGTGGCCGACAACGTGACACTCTGCTCTCAGATTACACTCCGGATTCTGATGCTTGAGCATGATAGCACCCGGACAGTCCCGACCACCAAGCATCTGCAGCCTATTTTGGGTGCTCTTACGAGACACTGTGTCTGCAGAGCCAGCCAAGCTACTCCAAAAGCACCATGCCACTCACAAACCCGACCACAAGACCTCGCAACCATAACAATTTCAGACCCTCTGAAGCGGTTTCGGAGTTCGGGTAGGATCATGTGTAGGATGGTTTCTTGCCATGTCGACACATGTGGAGAATTTCCCAAAGCCGGCCTGGCTCGAATCACAGGCAAGTTGAGGGATGAAGAGGCCCTAAAGTCTGGAGGCCAAGATATGCCAAGCCACTGCAAACTGGTTGCCCTGTGAGAAAGGCTGATGCACTTCTCCAGGGCACTCGGCAAAGTGAGAGCTTTTGGACCTCAAGCTGGAGCTTGAGCTGGCAAGCGGTCAGAGGTGAAAGCAACGCCGACCGAGACACACATCGTGAAGGCGCAGTGTGGCTACCTGTTTCAGGTCGTGCCACGCTCGAAACACAGGCTAGCCAGCAACACTTCGTCATGGCACTGCAGCTGTAAAAAGTGGCGTCGTCATCTGCACAATCCTTTACAGGCTGTCCTTCGTACATGTGCGTACCGGCTGAAACCAGAGTTGCAGAGCTGGAGCTGTCAGCTATGCCCAAACGAACCCCGTCCCAATTGTCTATTCAGTCCACTCTATCTAAGAGGGGTTGAGGGGGGGGTTGTAGGAAATGACAGTGTTCGAACTTGTCAGCCTTTCTTCTTTCTTGGAAATGGGGAGTCGGGGGGGGGGGGGCATGAAGGGTGTAAGGGGCCCTCTGTCTTGGCATCGGTGTTTTCATTGACCGCTGCCATCCGCTGCCATCAACAGCGGCTGGTGTGCGGGTCAGGGTCGAGGGCATGGAGTGTGGGTTTGGAGTCCTTGACCCTAAACCCCTTTTGCAGCCAGGCCTCCTGAGGTGTTGCCGGGTTTACAGAAACCCCTGAAACCTTACATCAAGAAGCCCGAAAACTCTCTATGCCCAGAAGCCAAGCCCGCATAAGCCCACAACCCAGAAACCCTAACCCTAAATCCCCTAGGCCAAGAAAAACACTAAACTCCATCTCTGCTACCCTGAAGCCGGACACTCTTAACCCAAAACCCCGTAACCCCCCAAGCCAGAAGCCCGCAACCCCTAAACCCCCCCTAAGCCCAGAAGCCCGCAACCCAGAAACCTTCAGCCCCGTAAGCACAGAAGCCCAGAACCCAGAAATGGCCCAGCCCGCCTTCCTTTCGCCCGCCCCCCCACAAGGACTCCACCAACCCGGGGTGCCCTGGTCCTAGGCCACGTAAATGAAATTTTTAGGGTCCCCACTGATGTGTCTAAGAGCCGTGAGTGTGGAGAGTGGGACCCCAGGAAGCTTACTTTCAGGCCGCAGCAGTGTATGCATGATGCCAGAGCCCCCTTCCGCCCCCCACCCCATGGTATCCAACCCCCCGCTCCTTGTGTGGTGTGGTGTCTGTGGTCTTGTTTGAGCTCCTTGGTGGTGCCTCTTGTATTCACCATCTGTTAAGTTATGCAGGCCCCCTCACCAAGCTTGAGTCTAAGTGCCCGAGCATGCCACCAAGCAGAAGCTGCAATCTTGGCTGACTTGTCCCAGGCTGTGCTGCTTGTACTTACGTTGGATTGGCTGCTGAGCAGCTAGCAAACCTACACAAGTGTTTTTTCCAACCCTCTCCGACGCCCGCACTCGGCAGGTCAGCTTACTGCTATTTGCCACTGGTTGTATTGTCATCCTTATTGCGATTGCTACTAGTGGGTTCTGTTCCGGTGCGAAACATGTTTTACAACCTGCCCCTCCGAAAAAAGAAAAAACAATCATGCAAAGCACGATATCGTGCCAGCTACTTAGGCCATGTTCGAGATGGGAAGTTGCCCGGCATGTCGAAAACTTGACAGAATCAGGGAAACGTGGCACCAAAAAATCTCAATCGCAGCGATAATTGGCGGTTTGACAAAGCGATGTCGATCCCATCCTCCGAAAACGAAGACTGTCACGAGGATCGTGGCCACAACCAGCTTGATCCCTGTGACTGTTGTCGCAGACGGAGGGGATAGGGGGGGTACGGGGGGGTAGCGGCCCGGGACCCGAGACCATGTATGTACACACACCTCCCGTGTTTTTTCGCCATCTTGTATGGATTGGGCCCGGAAGGTCCGATTTCCTGCTGCTGTTTTTCCCCTTTCTTGTTCTCCCCCCACCTCCAACAAAGAGTGATTCTGAGGGTGACCCCCCCCCCTCAATTTTCCACAATATAAGCCAGGGTATCCTGTCATAGACTGCGAACTCATTTAAGCGTCGCCTTGGCGTGGTCCAGCTGATCGGAGATGGCAGCAGCATCCTCCTCTTTCGTAGCTGGCGTCAACACGTCCTGCCATTAGCTCATGTCATGTTCGAATTTCACCATCGAGATTGATAGCTTTTCACGACCTTCGGCTGGCATGGGGCTCACTTATTCACCTAGGACCTAGAAACGACAAGCGCAGTGCACGGAACTACTTTGACTTGAACCGTCAAGCCGGAAGCACTAAAAGAAGACGGAAAGCTGCCACGGCAAACGAACGGGCAGGCCGCGTGGAGAATTGCGGAGGCCACCTACACTTTTCCGAGAACTCCAAACATGCGTTCTCCCATCCACGCGGCGCCAGTATCAAGTCGAGCGCTCTCGATCTTGTTCTAGGACGGGCTTAATCAGACAAGCTCAGCAACAAAAAACAGCCCTGAAGGCAGTCTAACAAGAAGGCGACAAACACTCAGAAAATTGTCAATACCAGGACAGAACACAAAAGTCTGAACAGGTCAGAAACAACGGAAGACCCAAGCTGCTAAGCCACACCAGCGTCAGCACACAAATCAGTTCGCGGCTTGCACAGAAGGTGTGTCCTCCGTCCATGTTCGCAGGCCAGCAAAGCAGCCGTCCTCGCAAGATCTGCCAGGTCAGTATGGACCCAAGACGCAACGCCTCAAAACAGTCCTTGTGACTGAGATCTGGCAAAGCTGGTTCTGCAGTTCCAGGTGCACCATATGTGTAGATTCCGGCATCCACCTAGTACTGCACGGGAGAGAATCAAAGTCGGTGGATCGGGCGAGGTTCGGGGATCCTGTCAGTTCTGTGCGGACAACTTCTCAAGCAGCCACATCCCCAGGCAAAAGCCCTGTATACGCATCACTCATCCATCCACAAGACTCTGATTGACCCTCTGTGCTGGCGGCTCGCCGTCCCGAAGAGTGTCTCTTGGAGGCCGGTGAACTGCGGTGCTGCTCGAAGCCTGTAGACGGAAGCCTGCTTGAAATCAGGGCATGGCATTGCTTGCCGGGGCTTTGTTCAGCTTGCTGATGTCCAAGAAGAGTGCCTCATGCTCTCCTACTTCAGGTCCAGAGTGGCAAACACGGCTGTGTCTGAATTCCACATCCAAGCCTCTCTGGAACCTGGCACCACGAGAACAATCAGGCCCATTACGCAAACGCCAGCAAAGGCAAAGGCCTGAGTTTGCGGGAGATGCTTCCCACAGCCACTCTTCGCATGCGACAACTTCCAATGACGACTACGCAGCTACTCACACAGACACACAGAGTGAAGTCAAAAATCCTACGGGAGTCCCTTGTCTGGCACCCTTCCGTGGAAAAGGCTCGCAAGTAAGAATGCAGCTAGATTGGCTGGTTCAGATCGTCTGCATACCGTAACACTGAATCTAAGCACGTGTCCTGAATACTTTATACAAATTCCGTGTTTTTGCGGGTTTATCAACATCGACTGACTGTTATTCAATATGCTCGTTTGTAGGGTTGGATCCGCGGGGGCTGGATCAGTGGGCTTGGCAAAAACCAAAGTTATCAAAATCAGAAGTCAACCTGAACAAAGACTTATTGGATACGTTACGACACGGTAGGTTTGTCCAGAATTAATGTAACTGGAGATTTGCAGACACTGAAAATTGTTGAGAAAACCATGAAAAAATGTAGTATTATTTCTGTCCAAGCCGGTGTGTGAACAGAGCAACCGGAAGCTGTGCCATTCCAGTGACCCCTTGCACCGACATTGGCACGTCGGGCAAGGTCACACTAGATGGCTGGCCTTTGTGTCCCCAAGCAAGGAAACTTGATGGCTCTTCGGGTGAGAGCCCGGCAACACCAACAGGTTTTCGCAAGGCTGAGGACGTCTGTGCAAGAGCCGGCAGAAGTTGCAAAGGTGTGACTCCCAAATTGTCAACAAGAAATTGTTCCTCAAGTGTGTTCACTTGTGCCATGCCACTGACCCCTTGCACCGACATGGGCACATCGGGCAAGGTCACAGTGGATGGCATCTATTGTTTCCTCACACTGCTCAGAACAACCTGTCAACTTAAACAGGTTGCTGCAAGGTTGAGGAAATCTTGAGTCAGCATGGCATTGCTTGGCAAGGTTGACGATTCGAATTGAGGAAATCTTGAGGAATCCTCCTCAAGTGGGGCAAAGAAGGCAAGAACGACGTCCAAGGCCCTGATTTGCCGGCGCATACTCATTCACTGAAAGAGCCATATCAATTCTGTTCCTCCAAGTGTGTTCACTGAGACAGCCACATCGACATAAGGCTGCAAGCAAATCAGACTTGTGTCTCAATTGTTATGCAACCTTCTCATCAGTCATCGCACTGTTTTACCTGTGTTGCTGCATGGCCTGCTGTTGCTGTTGTGTCACAGCATTCACACCCCAAAAACCAGTCACAGCAGATTGGCTTGAATAATAAAAAGCATGCAGCTCAGTAAGCTATGAAACGTATTTTGGCTGACGAAGCGGATCGTCACAATAGATTCCGGACAATCTGCGCAACTGCTTCCCCGAACATCGAAGTGTATTCCCCACTAGCCTGTACATCTGCTGGCACACCGGTGAAACGGCCGTCTTCGCCTCGGTTTACCAGACCAATGAAAGCATTATGATCTGGTTTGGGCCTGGCCAGGTTCTCAAAATGAAACCCAGGCAAATGCCACAGTTGCAAGGGCTTCACTGACTTTCCGTTAAAGGCACCCATGTAGGTGCAAGTCTTTTCGAAGCCACAAAAGGATAGAACTGTTTTGACACACTCGAGGTGCGGCATACAGGAGCTGAGGGGCTGTTCCACCACAGGGCAGCACTCACATGCCCATCCCAGGAAAATCCCAAGTGAGCAAACAAGGGCCTGACAATTTCCCTGCAATACAAAGTCCCGCTCAGTCCATGCGCCTTCCCAGCCGTTGCTTTCAGCACGTTGGGAACGAAATGAGCACATAATGACAAAAGAAGAGCACGGAGTGCCCCACCAATGCAAAGCCTTCTTCTCACACGCTGTGGCTGCATCCAGAAACAAACGCAACCCTTTCGCTAGCAACATGTTGTGTTCGTCATTGTAGAGTATGTCAAAGCTGCACCCACGGAGACCGGATTCGATCAATTTCTTCGAAAGTTTGGCGCTCCCTGCATAGTATTCAATGTATTGCAGCAACCCCGCACATTGATGGGGTCCCACATCGATTGAAGCTGCTTCAATCTTGGCTCTGTTGTCATAGCTACGGCTAATGATGCACATCAGCTGACACTCGATGGTTCGGTTCTTCAATGCGGGATAAGCCAATCCAATCAGCCCATGCCATTTCATGGCCACTCTGCCCACATTGAAGTCCTGGTCGTAGCGCAAGAAATTTTGCACCAAAATCCTTGCAACCATGAGCCTGTGACACCAAGGCTCTGTGGACCTGGCCAGCAAGATCAATTGAGGATGATGATAAGTTTATGTAGTATTACATTAATGAAAAATTCATATTATAACAAAATCTGTGACCCATAACACCTTGAACAGACTCCGGCCTTGGGGAGAAAGACAAGGAAGCAAACGGAAGGAAATGCGAACATTGCAATCGCGATGTTTGCTCGAAGACGTCCTCTACCCAAGTGTCAAACCGATCATCAATTTCATCAGTTCCTGTAACTGTATCGGTAAAATTCAAGGCAGGAAGAGTACACGGGCGCTCCACTGATCTACCTCCCAACTCAAATGACTCTGCAGCATTCTTTTTCCTTTTGCATTTCTTGCGTGCTGGCTTCACAGGCCCAGCACTACCACTGAAGACCAGCGATGATCCCAGCACATGCTGGCACGGCCACTGGAAATTGGACATGTTGGTGATTCACTGACATCAATACATTGATTTGTTGTCCCACATAACTTTAAACCATACCTCTGGTCCAACTTGAGCAACAAATGGATTCAATGCTTGCCTGGCATATCAAGCACATTCCACAAACTAACAGGACACAATGTCAGGAAGGCTTGTTTTTGCTGATCGCTTTCTCCCCGAGCAATCTGCAGCATAACTATGGTGAGACTTCATGATTCATGTCATGTCATCTTCAATTGCACACTTCAGGCATTCAGCAACTGTAATTGCAACGTAACTGTAAAGACTCAATCACAGAATGAACAGCAACTGCGCACAAGCTGAAGCCAAAATTGTGAATCGAACATGTTGCCGCTATGACAGCAGGAGCAGATTCACACACATTGGACTCGGCTGGATGAACTCACTCCCTGTGACTTCTTGAATCGACCGAAGACTTGAAGCTAAGAACACGATACTTGCATACATGACATTGACAGAAATCTGCAACCTGCTGACATGTTTTCCCCTGTGATGTGTTTATCACCAAAAAAAACTGAAGAGGCTACTTGGCATACTTTGTGGGCGGAGGCATTGCGTCGATAATCGGGGCAAGGCGTTCCAGGACAGCCTCAGGGATAGTGCCAGGCTGACAATGAGGCGGCAGTTGCCTTTCAGGTTTGGCCTTCTCCCACTCTGTCCACGCCCAGCGATGCACTTGAGCCAGTGCTTGCTTCCAGTCTGATCTGTCGTTAGCAAAGCTTTTGCTGCAAGACTTTTTCCCCTCACTTGACACATACTGTTTTGTCATGATCTCGGCTTTGAAGCGATGATCGTTGAAGCTGAGACGCAACTTGAAGTCTTCGGGTGGATCCAACTCCGACAGGAAGTCGGGAGTGTTATTCAAGTGTGGACCATGCTCGCGCGGAGCACGTTGCGATGCCTGGCCACGATGTGCAGCATCATCAAGGACCTGCTCAGGGGCTGATCCGCTCGAGGACGAGGCCTGTGCCATTCCACTGTCCCTTGGCCCGGATATTGGATCCGGCAAGGTCCCATTGGATGGCTGTGCTTGCACTTTTGTTTCCTCGTGTGCGACCCCGGCACCACCAAGCACAGAGTGTGGACGGGAAGCATCGACACAGGGCTCCTCCGCCGGGGGGGCGGGCTCTCCTTCACCAGTGTGTGGACTGGGAGGATGGGCGCAAGGCTCCGGTGAGGGGGCGGGCTCTCTTGGACTGGGAGCATGGACACAAGGCTCTGCCGGCAATGAATCAGGAGTTGTTCGATCGTCCATGACATTCATGTCCAACAGCTGGCTTTCCAACTCCTCTTTGAGTTCAGAGATATCTGGATCTTCTTCCACTGCTGGTCCGGGCATTTGTTCGAGCACCTGCTCCTTGCGTTTTCGTGACGCTGCTTGCCTGCGAGCCAGCCCTTGCAAGCCCAAAGCTGTGCCTCTTCCAAACCCATTGCCTTTTCCACGGCCTTTGCCTTTTCCTTTGCCCTTGCCTTTGCATTTTGCTTTGGCACACGGTTTTGACTTTGCTTTGGCTTTTGCCACAGCTCTCCTCGCTCTTTTGGCCTGCAATCGAATCACAATTGAGTCACAATTGAGTCACATTTGAATCACAACAATTGAGTCTAAGCCTAGCTCAGAAACTCACTGGAAGGTCTTGCCAGGGTGCCTTTTGTTCTGCAACCTTCTCATCCCACATGTTTTGCCAACGTTGTTGCTCGGCCTGCTGTTCCTGTCGCATCAGGGCTTTCTCCAAGTCCTGGAAATCCTGTTTATCTGAGGGCTCCATGTTGTCCAACAATGCTGATAGAAAACCATCAGGCATATCTGCATCAGGAGCCTTCTGAGTGTCTGACTCTGCAGCTTCACGGCAAGCTTCTGCAAACTCTTCTCCGAAACACTCCTGACACTGTTTCAACAACTCCTTCTTGGAATTCTTGTGGGGTTGTGTCACATTCAAGTAGTCCGCCATCAATGTCAACTCCGCAAAGGTCCTTTTGTGCCCGGAGCGCAAAGTGTTTTGCACAAGTGGTTCCCAACCACACGTGGCTTTGAAATAGAGTCCTGCCTGTGTTGACAATTTCGGAGTGGCTTCACATGCTTCCCATTCCTCAGGGTTGTGAAGGAACTGCCATGAGCAACCGGCCTCCACTTGCAACTGCCAGCCCGAGCACCTGCCGCCCTCATGAACTTCGGACAACCGCCATGCCAACACTGCCCATTTGAAGGATCCCAGAACAATGTAGGTCTCTTCCACATTGCGCAAAGTAATGATTTGCCCAAACTGGGCAAACACAGCCCACAAGCCGTCCTCAGGAACATGTT